CAAGTGCAAAACTGCTCCCTGAGAGGTAAGCCCCACAGTCACCAGGTTTTCTACCTGGAGTCCATTTCCTGACCATGTCACAGAGAGCTGGAATCTGAGCAGACACAAAGTCCCATTGAGCTAAGGAGGCAGAGATCAGAGTTTGAGACTGCTGAAGTGGCTAGAAGGTGCAGAACAGAGAATTGGAGAGAAGGGAGGTGTGTAGAATTAGGCCCCAAGACCATGTAGGGGTTCCTCAAGAGTTTTGTAGCTAAGGGCTAGGCTACACATGCATAGGGTGAGATCACCTGAGGCTTACCAGATAAGAGTAACAGCTGCTGTGGTGCAGAGACCAAAACTAATACATTGATGTCTAGTGGTGCTAGGGAAAGAGCTATCCTGGGGACACTAGGGTTTGGCCTTGCCTGAGTGAAGAGATTGCCGTAACACCTCATTAATAGCCCTAGCATCTAGCTAAAGCACCAGAGAAAGATTGTGCCTCAGAAGTTATAGACTTACCCTAACAAAACCTAAATCAAGAGCTGATAAAATGTGCATGAAAGACAGAATTGGGAAGCTGAGTCCTACAAAATGAGAAGGGCTTGGGAAACATTTTGGGCTTCCTTCAAATCCTTGCTATTAAAGCAAAAAACCAAGCCTACACAAGTTCACTGTAATCTGCCAATAACTGAACTGTTTCCTGAAACAAGAATCAACATTCTTCTGAGGAAGAAAAGAGAATCTAGAGTCTCCACAATATATTAATATTATCTATAATGTCCAGTGTTCAATCAAAAATCACTACTCACACAAAGAAACAAGAAAAAAAGTCAAGAAAAAAAGTAGTCAATAGACACTGAACCCAAGATGATTCAAATGTTGGACTTAGCAGACAAAGACTTTAAAATATTTTAAATATTTCAAAGTAATAAAGGAAACTAGATTTTTAATGAGTGAGCAGATAGAGAAATCTCAGAGAACTGAGAACTATATGAAAAAAACAAATGCAAATTCTAGAACTGAAAAGTACTGAACTGAAAAATTGACTCAGTGGGCTTAACAGCAGATTATCAGTGAACTTGAAATCAAATCAAGAGACTATGTAATTTGAAAAATGCAGAAAAAAATGGAAGTAAAATAAACATAGCCTCAGAGACT